ATAATTAAAGTAGATAATAATATAGATGAAAAATACATCAATTTTAGTCTAAATTGCTTGTCAATGTGCACGCGGTTCAAAGTGTGCGTAAAAGCGACGCATTAAATTATGTGCGTCGCGCGGCTCATTTGTAAGACAAACTTCCACAAAGTGTGCTTTACACTGACTAGCCTCGCGAGATGCCATCATCAGCTCCTTGCCGACACCGTCATCCTCTCTGAGAGAATTCTCCATCGCGCCTCATCTCTCCCACAATCGCCGATTAATCTCCCGGTTAAGCAGATTCTCGGATTAAGTGGCGCTCCCATATGCGTCACGCAGATGCGTGGATACGTGCGCTCCGTGAAATCGACCGCGACGATCCTCTCGCGTGCGCGACATGACGCGGCAACGAACACCAGCGCGCCACATTTCATCGTCAAAAATAGTCCGAGAATCGTGGAAGAGAGAGACTTATACTCCTCGCGTGCGGTTGTGTGGCGGATAAGTCTGCTGCGGGAATCTCGGATCAACTTGAGCCAAAAGAGCCGGCGTGTTTTGGTGCATTGACCTTTCTCACGATTTTTAGAGTTGTAAAATGAGCCGATATGTAACATTTTGCTGTCGAAAGGACGATAGGATGTAGCGCTCTGTTTATTGCTAATTGTAAGCGAGCTGATATTGTTCCTTCCTTTGAGAGCAATCGGTAATCTTTTTTCGCCAAGTATATCTCATAGCCCACAAAATTTCACTTCGCTGTCGTAAAACTACGATTGCGTCGCGTCGTCTTCGTGACCGCGAAACGCGATACTCGAAGAGGCGTATACGATGTCCCATCTTTTTCTTGTTTTCTTTTCTTCTCGCCCTTCGATCGACAATTGCATTTTTTTTACACGCAGCATAGTCGACGTGACAACAAATAAATGTCTTAGTATCCGGTACCCGGTTCTCTACCTACCTACCTACCTACACTCTCATGCCGAAGAGTCGTGCACTTTCAAGTTTGCATCTAAAGTCGTATGCTATGCAAAGAGAAGTTCGAAGCAAATCCGCGTAGTTGGAAGAAGCATTGAACGAGGAAGAGTGCGAAAAGAAAAACATGAATGAAAGGATAAGAAAGCAAGAGGAAGGGAAGGAGGGAGAGAGAGAGAGGGGAGGGGGAGACGAGTGCGATCCTCGTTCCGACGGGATGAGAATAAGGAGCAGTTTATTTTCGGCGGCCATATGTGCTGGTTATTTCAACAGTTTGCGCAGCCATCCTAAATAGAAGCTGCAGGCTCGTCTTCGAGGAAGATGTTCTCGGCTTGACGTTCTATTCCAACACGATCATCGGCATCTATCAATTTTCCAGGAGATTTTAAACATTTCGGAATTTGCTGAATTATATAATTATATATAATATAATGAATCAGTATTATGAATTGATATAAGAAAATATAGATTGTACATATAGATAATGGATCCGATAAATGTAATAACAATTACTATAAACTAATCATTGTGTATATTTCATTTCTTGTTTCAAATTAATATTTCTGTTAAAATGAGATTGGACTGATTGCCGTTGTTATCGCAATATATTTCCAACGAAAAATCGTATTTCTAATTTTGAAAATGGCGTGCGTGATAAAGATTGACTCTCTCGAAATAGAGTATCGCCGGGGTGTGAGGTTTCATCCATTCTCCATTCGCTAAGTATAGCTGCGACAGGTTGAGAGAAAGAAACCGGGCACGCCGTTTCGAGCATTCGCATATTGGTCGGAAACGCTATTGGACGGAGAGTTAGCAAGCAAGCGAAAGAGAGGGCAAGCACAAGCATTGGGATGGCATAAACATATAATTGGCCGCACTTAAATCTCTATAACGTGGTAGTAAAAATGCGTGGTACGCCGCGTAAATCAACATGTAGACGATATGGCTCCCTACCCCCGTCGTCGTTGACGTTCGCCGCCGAGAGCGTCCTCGTAAATGTGTCATACGAGTACACATGTGAATGAACGCATTCACGTGTATGCACTTACCAGCAGATTTCTGATGTGCCGTTGTGTATACTTCGTTTAAAAAAATATTTATTTATCAATATCGTCGCATACGATGTGTAGGTAACCGCTATAAATTTTTAGAATAGACATAATGCATTCATGCACAAATATATATGAATAATTATATTTCTTAATGAATAACTATAATGATAATTGAAAGTCATAATTTCTCATTGCAAAGAGCAAACAAAGAGCAAAGTAATAAAGCATAATTTCTATTAGCTTTACGGATGGAAGAAATGTATTTCAATTATAATGCAGTATTAAAATGCTCAAAATCTTTCTAAAAAATAAGAATATTGCTAGATTCTATTTACACGAAATTCATAAATACTCCGAATAAGCTTGCAAGGACGAAATCGTGGGTTGTCGATCACGATCTTGATCTCATGACGCGCGCTCGATTGCAACGACGAGAAACGACATTACATTATCGATGACAACTTGTGGGCGGATGATTGCGCGTGAAATACCAGTGCAACTGGATTACATACGAGTGTATATCAATATATCAGAGAGTATCTAAAGTCAAATAAGATTTTAACGACCTGTCATGGAAAATACGCGTTATACATTTTGATGAATGAATTATCGCAATCATAACGTAATATTTTTCCAATGCGGTATTGTAAACATCTCTTATGTACTAACGATAAATTTCAATATTTTCGCACGTTTCATATATATGGAATTTATTGTAGTTCAATTATATAGTTTTTTAGATAATTTTCAACTTTTTTTTATTATTTGATTTTTTCAAGATAGAACTCGATTGACCGTATTAAGATTATATATTTGTCGTTATAAAATTAAATGTGCTAGGAATTATTGTGCGATTAAAACGGATTCAGTTTAAATTGCGAACGATACTCTGACGAAGGAGACCATTTTCTTTTGCCAGGATACCGATAGGTCGTCGTCGTACGGTGCCACACGGCACGGCGGTACGACCGGTACGCTACATTAACCCGATTCAGCGAGTAAATTAACTGCAATCAGAGGGACGTTCCCGTTAGCCATTCCGTTATTTCGCTATAGCCACCCGCAGGTTCTATGAGCTCGCAGGCCACCCTATTCGACTTTGCGGACACGCCATTAACGGGCTTCTGAGTCGAAGAGGGGGTGAACGTCTACATTGTTTTTGTTGTACACGAAATGACCACTGGCAATGAATCTTATGTCTCGGATGGAAAACAAACTTGGTCAATGAGAAAAAAAATAGCTATTCAGAATCGCCGATTTTTATGAACCTAATTAAATGGATTTATGACATAAGTATGTACTTCATAGTATCTTAACGTTGTTGAATTTAGAATTATTTTCATTTGTTTTAAGATTTTATAAGGTGTGTTTTTATGATAATGACAAATTATAATTATAAATCTTTTATATAACATTAAAATTTTATTATAACTGTTATAATTTTGTTATAATTGGCAATTTCTCTGGGAAATTGCGTTTAATAGAATTTGTCAGCTCATCAGAATAAATCGCGATAAGATAAATATCCATCGCGCCAAATCGCAGAGAGCGAAGACTTTTCTCGTTTTCTTTCCCTCGGAGCATTTCAAGAAAGCGGCACACGCGAGAATACGTCGTACGTGGTACCAATTCTCATCGATCTCCCGTCGTTCTGGTCCGTCCGCTCTTACGACAGACAAATTTTTCGTTTTGCCTGCCTGCCGTCATTCTACTCTTGTTCGATGACGGTCCGTTCGACGAATTCAAAGTTAATCTCGGGCACGAGACCGTTTTTCGGCGAACGAGAGGGGTGAGTTGACAGCGCCCCCGGGCGACCTGTCATCGTGAACCCCCTGGGAGCGCCAGGCTCACCCTGATCTCTCTGTTACGATAGAACCTTGGGAATCGGGGCCTTGGGCATTACGATAAGGCTCGGTCATTTATAATCCGCTGGCGTAAGTAGCCTTCTCTGCTCTCCTTTCTGGCTGATTGCAAAAGAAGAGAAAGAATAAAGGGAACCTCGAACTTCCGGCGCTCAGGCTCGTCTGGGAGATTGATTCGCTGGAATATTACGAGAATTCCAACAAAATTGCATTTTATTCCATAATCACCTTCAAACTTATGTCATAATAGAATAGTAACGGTCACTCGAGAGTCGTATTACCACAATTTCTGTAATCATTAATATTGCATTTTGCGAGATAAAAATTTACGATTATGACATCTCCAATTTTTTAGAATCTATTAATCGAAGTATATTTAAATATCAATATATATTAAAAACTATAATACGTTTTGCAATAAGAGTACTATAAATGAAAGTATATGCAGATCTTCTTATACGTGATGTACATTACTTAATAACGAATAACTCGAATTACATTTGATAATATGAAAATATGACATTAGAGCTTCTGAAAAGCATAACCAACAGCGTCTTAATATCTCTCATTACTGTCCCGCTTTTTGAGTCCCCAGTGACTGTGCAATTAAAAAGCTAAGATTGATAAATGACGGAGAATTAATGCACACGGATGGAGAAGAGGCGAAATAGGGTGGAGAAGGAGCAGGGGTACGTGGTTGAGCTGAGTACGACGAGGCGTGTGTACGAGCTTCTCCGGGTCGAAAGGGGCCGGGTGATTGCGGGTGGCTTAATGGTGTTTGTATGCATGGGAACCAGCCCTAGGGTCGAGGTAGTTATCGCCCACCAGGGTATGAACCGAAAATCGGAGCGCAGTTTAAACACGTCGGGAATTTTGCTTCGACGTGCGATCTCACAATTTAATCGTGAACTCAAATTGATTTCTTTTTATTTACTATATTTTAAACAATCAAGAAAATTGATCTAGTGTATGTAATTTGATTATCAATATAAAGCTTTATTAGGTATTTCTTACGTGAGAATACATTTGGCTCTCGTCAACTAATAGATTGAAATATCGTAAATTGCCATTAATAAATTCGCATTAATTATTGAGACGGCACGTGATGACCTTTGCTCTCTTCTTACTGTTGCAGGTGACGCGAGTAACGCGAGTATCGGTAGCGGCGAGGGCACGGGCGAGGAAGATGACGATTCGTCAGGGAAGAAAAACCAAAAGAAACGAGGTATCTTTCCTAAAGTTGCGACGAACATCCTCAGGGCGTGGCTCTTTCAACATCTCACGGTAAGTACCTTCTTTTTCATATATCACAATGTTTGATCACGATGTTTTCTGTTTTCGAAAGATATTAAGCGATGTATTGTTACCATCACAGAAATAGAGTATTATTCATTGCTTTTATTCGCGAATGTATCTTTTTACGTATCTTTTATTATTTAAGTAAGAGGAAAAATTATCACATATCGGTAACATATTTGTTTGTAGCTACTAAAATTTTCGAAACATTTTGAAATTGCACTTCGTTTCAATGCAAATACTTTTTATGCATTTATTGCATCCAAAAATTGCTTTTATTATCAATAGCGACTTACAGGTCTTGTATTGCTTTCCATCAATGACTAGTGTAGAACTTTTACTTTACTCTCTCACTGTTGAAACATACGTGTTGCTTATTCTTTTGATATACATATTTATATCTTATGAATCGTACATTGTGATTCTAATGGAATTTCTTGAGCATAAAAATTTCGAGAAAGTTTTATTTCTTGGTATTTTATGTCATTGTCAAAATCTGCGAGCAATTAAAAAATATATACTATATCAGATGAAAAGGGACAAATAAAAAATAGTAGAAAGAGAAATGACTGGAGACTAATCTCGTAATGCTGAGCTAAGAAACGATCCGTAGTACGATGGTAGTGGTGGCTTTCGATTCTACTGGGGCCCGAGTATCTAATGATTCACGGGTAATCTGAGCCGCAAAAAGCGCAACGCGATTAAGGGGGAGAACGCCAACCGAACCTCGGCATCGGCTGCAACTGCCGCAATTGCGTAACGTTGCACGGCTATTCCAAGAGCAATACATTGTTCCTCGCTGCACAAGTTTCTCTCTCTCTCTCTCTCTCTCTCTCTCTCTCTCCCTCCCTCCCTCGCTCGCTTGCTCGCGCGTGTATTCCGGACACCCCATAGATTTCGGGTGTGATCAGGTTACCTTGCGAGAGCGGTAATCATATTGCAGCTCGGTTAATGCCATTACCGCACTGGGGGAGGTTGGCAGCTACCCTCGAAATCACCCTGCAGCCACCTACCGTCCTCCCCCGTCCTCACTCCCCGTTTCTCTGTACTGTATCGCGGCTTCAGCAACCCCCTAACAACATGTATTGGATATGACGTCGGGGATAGTGGGTTCATGGTTTAATGCATATACGCTGTTTGTAGGATGACGATACCGCACTCGCTCGTAGAAAGACGAACCCGCGGTCGACGCTTCTCTTGCTCCTTGGTTAATCGCGTCGTCGAGAGCTCTCGCGAATGTTAACGACCTCATACACAGCGCCCAAGTTAAAAGGATTTTAATGTAAACCGACGATGCATCGGGACTCGATGTGCCATCCCTCGACGACTGAGTTTCGATGTCTGTCGATTCATTCAAAGTTTGTTTCGATGTATGTTGGGAGTACAGAGAATTTTAGTCGATGTATGCGCTAATTCCTGACGTGTTTCGCATTTTAAATACTTATACATGTCTATCAATACAATTACATCTTTGTTTTAACATTACTTTATTTTAACATTACTTAGTTTTTTCTTTTTTTTTTACATTACTTTTATATAATATGCTTTAAATTATTTACGCAAAAGTATCATTTCAGACGGCAGTGTCATTAAAACTTTAATTACGCAATTAAAATTCGCAGAATAAAATATAACAAAATACAAATTTGTGTTTTTCCCCCGTTTCACACATTTATTGGATTCTTATAAAAAGATAGAAATACGTTTTGTTATAAATGATGAAAAAACACCGTATCTAAGACATATGAAATTCGTCCGTGAGCGATTATACGGTGCCATTCGCCAGAAATTACGGAGGTTTTTCACGATAGTCTCGAGAAGCGCCGCATTCGTCTCGGCGTTATTACGAGCGATTAAGCGACTATATTGCATCCCGGAATTCATTCGGGAGGGAGGGATGCACTGGATACATATTACATCTTAAAAGAGTAACTGGCACGAACACGAACTCGTGTATTTACTCGAGTGCCAAGCTCTTTAAGCGCCCCTTCCGACATTTCATCTTTTTCCATCGAACGAATTATGATGTCGCGATTTCCCTATTTAATGTTCTAATTTCCTGTGCTTTTTTCCGCATCGGCGATGCGCTTATCATAACAATCTCGAGAGGTTGATGGCCCATCGTAATTTTGGCATGAATTTAAGTATATGTATCATCACGATATCGACCATAAACTAACAATTCGATAACCGGAAAATTATGACACGCTACGAAGTTTCTCAACGATGTTTGCGAGTTGAAGCAAGTCGAAGGTATCCGCCATAAATCCATTGTGTCCAACGCGAATATGCCGATCGTCGCTCATTCCGTTTTCATCGTATAGAAGCATCGTCGGGAATTCTAGGTCGTGTTTAGCCTTCGGCTGCCATCATTTAACCTAGCTGGTTAAACATTCGAAATCGCGACATCTCGCGCCAAGGAATTTGTTGTTGCGCGCCAATGGTCTATCCCGTTTCGTAGCAGCTAGTCTGCATTGACATGGTAGATGGGAAGCAGCCGAGCGCACCGCGGTTGAATAGACATAGTTTATGTATACACATAGTTTAGATAGATAGGAGAAGGACCGACGGAGGGAAATAAGTTCAATGGAAAAGCGAATACCGACTAGTTTGGCGAGTTATTGCGTTAAAACGTGATAAGTGTGTATATGTATAATGGAAAGGTGTGGCAAGGAAACGATGAAGAAAGATAAATATCAAAATAAAACTGTGAAGGAGATTGTATATATTAAAAGAAGACGTAGAAAATTATAATAATGATTTGCAGTATAATATTTCGATATAACGATATCGGTATACAAAAGATACTGTTGCAAACAAAGAAAGATAGAATAGCAATGTGGATGGCGATCTCTCATCTATGCATACTTTAATGTGAATTGGAGATTTGAGAGAAACGCGCGAATAAGGATATGTGACTATGTTTAAATGCAGCAATTAATATTTTATATTAGATGCGATTTTTTAATGAAAGAATTATACGGTTGATTAAGCATAATTGTTTCCAATTTGGATTATCTGCAAAATATCGAAGAAATTAATTTAGTATTAAGTATTGCTTGTTATAAAATATCATACATTTAAAAACATTTTTTTTATTATCGATTTAGTATATCTACATGTTTACGCACGCATGAGCGCATTAGGAAGTAGAAACTTATAACTTGCTAAGAAAATTAAATAAGAATATTCACACTCTATAAAGGATAAGTCTATCTTGACTCATAATATTATACAGATCGATTTTAAACGTAAGCGGTATGAAAAATTGGATCTTTAAGCCTATTCTATATAATTACATAAGCGTAGTTGTAAGTGATTTTAGTTGTAAAAATTCACCAATCACGAATACGAGAAGAATATTCGACCATGATTGGTCAATTCTTACAACTGCAATTACTTACAACTACGTTTACGCAATTGTAAAATAGGCTTTACACCAACATTGTCACGATATATTTTTGATAAAAGAGAGAGAGACTATCATAGTTTGTTATTATTCTGTAGCGAATAAGAAAGAAGAGAACAGTATCGCTCAAACAATCGATGTATCGCGCAAAACGGACTTCGTGTATACGACGCCGGAGTGCAACTGGAGATTAATGGAATTTCCTAAAAGCAAGTTTATGTATTCGTTGGCGCAGATCCCCACACGAGCTCGCATGTTTTGCTGCGTTACGCTGACTCGGCGATATTTTCGAAAATCGCGACGCTTGCCAATGCTCGATAAAAGTTTCGTACGGCACGAACGTCCGGCGAGGTTGCCGTCTTCTTTTTTCAGCGAATTGTTTATCGCCGTGTATGAATAATGTAATAGAAGTTAAGTGCATCGAGTCTCCTGAGAGGAAGTCGATGGTGATCCCACTCTCGTTATAAGTACCGTTTCATGCGTTCGCAAGGAGACACGAATCTTTCTCCTGTCTTTCTCTCACTTTGTAAAGTCCATTCGGATGTTCTCTCTCTCTCTCTCTCTCTCTCTCTCTCTCTCTCTCTCTCTCTCTCTCTCGCTCACTCGCTCGCTCGCTTTCGCAGCTCTTGCTCTTGCTCTCTCCGGTTGTCATTTTGAAAGCCATTCGCCGACCTCCCCTCGCTGTCAGTCCGACGTACATACGTCCGTTCGTACAACCGGCGCACCAACCAACTCTGCGACCCTTCCTAAGTTTAATTAGACGGAAGAGGAGCATACATCATGGTCGACTCCGTGTCCCGACCTTCCTCGGGCGGCAGAGTTGGGCTTTCCAGAATTGTGGCTACCGACCTAGTACTTCTTCTCTCGTCGTTCCTTCTCACGTATACTTTCGATGTTATATGGTACATTTCTGCATATAGAATTTATAACGTGTCTTATTGCTTTCAAAAAAAATTGAAATTTTTGTTGGGTTAATTTGGAATTCAAATTGTTGATAATGTACAAGTATGTCACATACTTCAGTTTAATTACTTTTAATATTAAAGAAATGATACATAACAATTTAAGTATCATTTTGATAAATTAATATGTAAAAATAATATAAATTAATTAATTTTACGTTATTTGTTAAATAATCGTGTTTTATATATGACAAGAATTTTTTAATATTAAATTCTTTTTTATTTCCTAATCTTTTTTTATTTAACTGTGAATAGAATTGTTTATCGATTTTTAAATATTGTGAATTTTTAATTTTTATACATTGAATTCAATAATAAATATTTTTAGTTAGCGGACATAAACGTCGCAAGCAAATTGGAGAATGGAAGGTAGGATGAAAAAATAAAAAAGGGAAGTAAGATTGAAGGCATTATAGAATTCATATATACATATATAATTCATTTTAATTTACTCGAGAGACACATCCATCTAGTTTGTAGTTTCCTGCGACTTTGTTTCTTCTACTTGGTCGTTCCTTTTCAATTTTCTATGTTCATTTTATCCTCTATTTTACCGTCTTTGCTGTCATTCCCACTATCCTTTAGCTTGTCGGCTATAGAGCTTTATTCGTACATCG